CTTGAATAAATTGCATGCTCGAACGAGTGCAATAGAGTACACCTCAGATATATCTCCTTCATGAACATCTCTAGAAGATATATATATAGATATAATTGAAAAAGAGATATGGCATGCATCATCTGTTAGATAGGTAGGAATGAATGATGAACTCTTCTTCCACGACGCTACTTTAATTTCATCTTCGAAATTAATTTCCACCGAACTCAATTGACTTATGATCCTATTGAATTCATTTATATGATCAGCAACAGGTCCACCTTCAGACATTTGTAGATTGAACAATCTCCGCATCAAATACACCTTGTTCATAGCCGATGGTTTTTCATACATATTTGACAACGCCTTCAATAGATTTGACGTTGTCTTCTCCTTGATAATGTTGAACGCCACGTTTCTGGATAGCGTCATCCGGATCAGCCCCAATGCTTGTCGATCCTTGAGCTTCCACTGCTCTGTGGTCATGGTATCCGGCTTCACCCCAAACAGAGGCTCGTGAAGATCTTTCTGGTACAGATAATCTTCAATCTGCATCTTCCAGAAACCGAAATCGGATCCATCGAACTTCTCAATTTCAATCTTTGAACTTTCCATCTTCACAGATCGTGGTGAATTTCGCCTAGCTCTGACTTCCGCCTGGCTCTAACATCCACCTGACTCTGACTTCCACTTGGCTCTGACTTCCACCTAGCTCTGATACCAGTCGTTAGCTCTAATACCAGTCGTTGGGATCGATACCAATCGTTAGCTCTAACACTAGTTGTTAGGATCACACAACAACGCACACGCTCGATCTAGATGAAAACAAAAAATAGGATAGAGAAAATTGCAAGGAGAACTCTGGCTAAAAGAATTTTTATTGATGACTTCAGGTATGTACAACAAGAGAGTACAGAAAATAGAAAGTACATTTTCAAAGCTCTCCCGGACGGGATATATATATAGTTCAATTTACTATATATAGCTTTACCAGATTTAACATCTACTATATATAGCTTTACCCGATTTAACCATCTACTATATATAGCTATTTATCATATATAGCTCTACCGAATAGCTATATCAAATATAGCTTTACTGTATATAACCGTTGACTAAGCTATAAATAAACATCAGGCTCCATACCCTAACAATTTGACCCGAAGGATTGATGAATGGAAAGACCCTGCGGAAGAAGCTTTGGCAGGCGGCCGAGGAATGTATGTTTATGTTCTTCATTGCATGTATATCCATCAGCGTTGTTCTATCTGTTGTTTCAATTTTCAGTTCTAAAAGAACGAGAGAGAGGCTTCTTTTAGCGATTTTTTGGCTTGATTCTTCTTTGTTATGTTTGTTAAGTACATTTGTGCTTCCTAGGTCTCTTCTTGTTTTTGTTTATCGTCTAGTTACCATAGCTTCTTGTTTATTAAGCAGATAATATCAGTTTTAGATTGACCTCTTTATCCTATCTTATCTGATCTTTTTTAGGTTTTGCATAGTGCCCCTCGCGAAAACTCTGGTTAACTCAGTCACACAGATGGTATGGTTCTAACCTTATCCACTACAGTTCTTGCTGCTGCTGCTGCTGTTATTGTTGTTTTTATTTTATTTTTCTTTGCAAAAGAAACAACTGAGTTAGCTCAAAAGAACTGTGGAAAAAAACTTGGCAATCAATGTTAGGAAACTGCAATTGTAAATGAACTGTGGCTTGATAGAATTTGGGGTTCTTAGGTTACATGTTTTTATACGATTTTACACATTTTATGCATATTAGATCTTGTGAGGCATTGAATCTTCAATGTACATAATTATTTGTGTTGAGATTCAGTAGGTAAAGTTAAGTAAAATGACGATTGAGAAGTTTCAAAATCCATTGTTTAATCAGTTATCAAGTGGTCTTAGCTTGGCCTGGTTCGTTAGTTTTGCCTCATTCTGTTCTTTCTTCCTTTTCTGAACCTAGCTCTAATTTTGAGACCACAGGTGCATGTTTTTGTTATATTTGTAAATAAGATACTCGTTAAGAAGAGTGAAAGAATTGAATGGAAGCAACCCAAAAAAGCAATGCCCCACCAACAAAGGGGCAACTAAGAGGACAATCAAAATTGCTAGAAGGAGATCCACTTGTTGGCAATTAAGGAAAGAGGAAGATTACAAAAAAAGATTAGATACATATACCCAAGTAGATGCATGAAAGGGGGCTAGATCTAGAATATCCTCCTAAGATCCCTCCAACACCCAAAGAACTACTGGCGTCCTTATCTTCTTTTGTAAGAACACTTCATGAAATAAAATTCCTATTTGATTCACATTCATTCACTGAATCCTGGTTGCATACATTACACCAATCGGGCAAAGAACCGTAGCTGAGGATTTCTAGATAATATCAGTGGAGTTAAAATAGAGAATATGCAAAAATATTAAAAAAGGGCGAGGAAAGCTCTCCTTAGCAGACGCGTTTTAAAAACCTTGAGAGAAATTCGAAAGGGAAAGTCCAAAGAGGACAATATCTGCTAGCAGTAGGCTTGGGCCGTTACATTTTCCTTTTCTTTTTATGAATTGACGATGAATAGTATTAAGAAGTGGGAACAAGCCACTTATTAATCTGCCCTTTCTGTGCAGATCATTTATCCACCTCATGGCTGCCTAACAGTGAGGTCAAATTAGGTTTATGATCAGTAGTACTAGGAAGTTGTAAAAAGCCACCTAGTCCACGCTTTCTACTAGCTACAATCTTTTTCATCTCCCCTCATGTCTGCCTATTGGTGAGACCAAAGTAGGCATTGTTGTGGGTTAGATGTTCAGCCTTGGGTTTGATTACGCCTCAGATCATTCTTCAATTTAAGCAGAGGTCCTTGATAGTGAGTTTGTGCAATTAATTTCTTCTACTACTCACAATTCATAATATGTAGCAAAATTCTTTCTGTGATATATCTTTAAGATTAATCGCTCGGAGTTTCGGATTATTGTGGGCATACATTAACAGGTTTAAGAGAAGGGTTTCATTTTCTTGGGTGCATATAACATGTTTATTGTTCTTAACCCCAATGGACATTAGGCTGCACAATTCCTTACTTTTGGATGTTTTCTGAATACAACGTGAAAGACCGACTGCCAGACCTCTAACTCGAATACTCGTGATTCTCCTTCCATTGCAGTTTAACATTGCAGCAACATCTGCAGTGCAAGCTCTTGAAAAGCCAGAACTACTTTCACCTCAGGTACTACAAGCTGGTCTCCATGAAAGGGTTGAGAAATTCATGTTGTCCGTACAAAACTCTGCATTCCACTGTGGCTTGCAGAAAACAAATTCTCCTTCTCCCGCCACTAGTTCCTTGGATCTACATGATGATGAAAGAATGGATCACTGAGTGTAAATGATCCTCATACACTTGAAACTTGAGAGATTAAGGTAGAAGGAAATTAAATTTGATAGGCCTTTTTCGTTTTTCCTCCACTTGCAGACAGTGGTCTGGTTTAGTTTCTCAAATTTTGGCCTAAGTTATATAGAGATATGTTGATTGAACTAACATACAAATAAAAACTAAAAAAAGTTGGAGATAGTTTTTAATTACTCTCTCTTGAGAAAATCCGTCATAAACTCAAATATAAAATATTTACTTGTTTTGATGGCAGTGGATTTACGATTGTGCGGCACTTACTTTCCAACCACAAGTGAGTTAAGCCTATTCGTTCTTGTGTCGTCTACGGCCAAGCAATGTATACTTGAGCCTCTGGCCCCGGTTCAAGAAAATAGTTTTAGAAAACGGGTAGAGTATTGACGGTGATTCTCAAATATCGCAGAACAGAATTTGATACGATGAGATAGAATGCAATAGAAAGTATTGACGGTGATTCTCAAATATCGCAGAACAGAATTTGATACGATGAGATAGAATGCAATAGAAACAATTGACGGTGATTCTCAAATATCGCAGAACAGAATTTGATACGATGAGATAGAATGCAATAGAAACAAAGACAGGTGATTCTCAAATATCGCAGAACAGAATTTGATACGATGAGATAGAATGCAATAGAAACAAAGACACAGGGAACGGAACGGGTTACCTACTCTTAACGGTCAAAGCGAACCCTTTCATTCCGAATTCTTTAATTCGGAATGAATCAAATCTCCCCAAGTAGGATTCGAACCTACGACCAATCGGTTAACAGCCGACCGCTCTACCACTGAGCTACTGAGGAACAACGGTAAATTAGGTTTCAGAGAATTCAATTCCCGTTCTCAACCCATGACCAATATGAGCTCGAGGTTTCCTTCGTAACTCCCGGAACTTCTTCGTAGTGGCTCCGTTCCATGCCTCATTTCATAGAGAACCTCAAAGGCAACAACAACGGCTTATTGCATATAACTATCTGGTAGGGAGAAGTTGAAAACTAGTCATATCCCACTATAGTACATTTTGGTGGCAGGTGTAGACACGATTTTGGTGAACAGTAGTCATACACCCCGTACTGACCCAATATGAAATGGTAAAGACCTATCTAGGATGAAAGCATGTAAAAGGGGTTTGGAACGGGCATGCAACTATGGACAACACGTCTTGGACAAGCAAGACCGAGATATCTATCATGTGGCCCTTGACAACACGCCTTGGACATGCATGACCGTGACATCCTCCCCCACTCAATTGGTTGACGTTTCTGTCAATCGACTCAGACAAGCAAGACTGGGACAGAGTATGACCGTGAAATTCCCTGTCAACCGACTCGGACAAGCAGTACTCAGACATCTGTTGTCGTGCTTTAGGCAAGCATGACCATACCAATTTAATATAAGGTATGGACATCAAATATTCTTTAAGATTGAGTTGTAACTATACGGACTTATATTCTTGATTTTAATTCAACCTAAATAAAAAAATGATTAAAAACATAACCCAATTTCCCTCCAATTCTTTTTTAATAATAAAACAATAATCTTGTAGTTATAATATATAATTTATTTTTTTTTCATTCCCGGAAATTGAGTTATTTTATATGTTCTATATTGCCCCACGTCCATTAATCCCAAATCTCCTTCTTCCTTTTCCCCCCCCTTTTTTCATTTCCATCCAATTAATAAAATAAACAAAACACACACAGAAAATCACAGCAGCAGAAGAAAAAAAAAGAAAACTTCCTTGTTCTTCCTCTTATCCCACAGAGCTCCATTGATGAGCTGATCGGCTTCCACACAATTCTTGTCTCTTCTTTATGATGCGCGCCCATCTCACCTTATGGCCGTCATCTTCAAACCCATCGCCTTATCTTTCTTCTCTCCACTTCTCTCCTCCTCTCTCCTCCTCCTCTTTCCTCTTCAGCTTCACACCCAACAAACGCTTCCACTTCCTCAAGACCTGTTCCTCTCTCAAGCAATCCAAGAAGCCTTCTCTTCAGAAGACTCCCACTACCGCCCCTCAGAGTTTCAAGTGGCTCTTTAGCCCCAAGTCCGACGACGATGACGCCACCGCCGCCGCCGCCGATAAAGGGAATAAGGACGCCGAGGACGATACTGCTCTTAAGGGTACCCTTTTGGCCGGTGTGTTGCTTCTTGGGATTATTGGTGGATTTGCATTTGCTGGATATGTTTACAAGGATCCGATTAATGCGTTCTTGAATCAGTTCTCCACGTTTATTGACGGTAATTTTGTGATTATTCATGGATTTTTGTTGTTTTCTGTTTTTAGTTTTGAATTTGGGAATGGATTGATTATCATTGTGCTTTGTTCTTCGTTGCTGTTTGAATTGGTCGTAAGTATGACTTCTTTTATAGGCTTCCCTTCAGGTTTTCTTTTAAAACTATGCTGAATTTCTGGAGTTATTTGAACTTGATCATACTGTTAAACACCAATAGTGTTTGGAGTTATATGATTGTATCCTACTTTTCTCTTGTACTTCCATGTTTATTATGTTTTGGTTTTAGCTTTCAGACCTTCTGCTTTAGTCTTTGAACTTTGCATTATAATCATCTTAGTCTTTTTCATTAACTTTCTGAACTATTTAGTACGAACTTGTTTAACCAGTACATGACTATATAGAGACCGAATGTTTGTGTTATCACAAGGGAACTGGAAGTAGCTGACTTCGCTAATTTGGTTGGATTTGTTTAAATATTTATTTAGATTATTTAGATTATTTAGTGATTGCCCTTTCTCCTTTATGAAAGGATATATAATTCTCTGCAAAACAATAAAAACACAGCAGTTTGATTTAGATTTCCAACTTGGTATTAGAGATTTTTTAGAAGATCTGATTAGAATCAAAACCCTAACTTAATCGGTGAAGCCTTCATCACTACCGATGATCCATCGTGATCACATTTCATTCGAAGCCTTCATAGCTTCCGTCACCGTGACCAATTTCCATTTAGATTGTGAAGAAAAGGGAACATATTACTACCCTACTGATTTGTTTTTCCCAATAGAAAAAAATTTCAAGTCGTTCTTCCAATCATCATCACTAAACATCAAATTTTGAGATTCATATTTGAAGTATTCAATAATGGAGGGAACCAAAGGCGTCCAAAGGCGTCCAAAGGCGTCGGAGGAAGAAAAGGAGGCGACAAAACTAAGATCTCTCAATTTGTCAAGGCTGGACTCGAATTCTTGAATGGAAGAATCAAACGGTACCTTAAAAAAAGTTGCTACGAAAAGTCTACTGTCGTAGATTATTAGTTCACCCCTGCTACTGCTAATTTACCAACTAAACCATTCACTCCAAAGAAGTGGCCACGAGAGAGGCGAGCAACACCCATGGATGTGCTCCAAGAGAAGTGAACACGAGAGCTTCATAGCTACCAATCTTCCACCTGTTCTTCCATCTTAACCAAATTTATTTAGAGCCTTAATAGCTACTGTTGACAAATTTATTCGGAGCCTTCATGGCTACCGTTGACAAATTATTTGGTCGGAGCCTTCATTGACAAATTTTGTTCGGTGCCTATTGACAAATTTATTTGGAGCCTTCGTAACTGCGGTTGACAAATTTATTCGGAGTCCCTGCCTACTAAGATTATCTAGTGATTTAGATTTAGTTAGCATTTTTCCATATATATATAATTCTTTGAAAATTAATTAGAAAACAACGATCCAATTTAGACTTGCAACAAATTTGATGTCAGAGTTCTGAACTAGGTTTAAGTTGTTTATTTGAACGACTAATGACACGTGAATGAGAATCACTAAAATAGTTTCTGATGCAAAGTGTAGAAGTTTAAAGTTTAGTGATCAAACTAAAATTAGTATGAAGGTCTTAGGAACAAAATAGGATTTAAACACAGTTTTTATGATTTTATATGTATTCATGGAAGCTGGATTGATGTGTTCATTGATCATCTATCTGCATCTGCAGCTAGCTGCTTTCTAATTGTTGTTCCCAAAATCTAATAGTGGTTTTGTTCAGGTAAAGAGGATTTTGTACAATGATAAATGAATCCTCTTTAATGCAACTACTATTTTTTCCTTTTCTGTAACATAGCATCATTACCAAATAAAAAGGGATAGATATTGAATGGCTGAGGAGGTCTCCATTTGTGTGAAGGATCTCTCTCAATCATGCAATTCATAACATAGAGCTTTTGATGAACAGGATATGGTCCAGCAGGATATGCTTTGTTCGTAGCAGTGTATGCAGGATTGGAGGTACACATATTTTTGCTTTAATACATGTATCTGGAATTTGCCTTTTACATCTATAGAGGTGGCCTTTGTGGTGAGGACTAGGTGGTGTGCCGCAATGATGCTGGCCCCCAAGAGGGGAGGACTGCGAGATTCTATATCGGTTGGAGAGGGGAACAAAGCATTCCTTATGGGTGTGGAAACCTCTCCCTAACAAACGCGTTTTAAAACCTTGAGGGGAAGCCCATAAGGGAAAGCCCAAAGAGGACATTATCTGATAGTGGTGGGTTTGGTCTTAATGACCCTTTAGGTCTTAACCCTTTAGGTCTTATTGTGAAGGATGGAACCCTTTTTTGTATAGTTATCTGTTTGTCTCCTTAGGCGTGGGTTGGTTTTTTTGGTATGCTTGTGTTCCTTTTCTTTTGTATTTCAATGAAACGTGATTTATGGAGATGGGTTCATGAGCACAATACAAGTAGTGGACGATACTTTTAGATGAGTTGAGAGGGATCATAGTGTCGTGTGGTCTCTTGTGAGGTTCTATTAAAGATATCCCTTCGCAGGGACCTGCTCCGAACAGGGTGGAGAATTTCCATTTAAAAGATGAATCGGGGAGGGAGCGGAGAGAGTTTTCTCCCCGTTCTGTACTACCAGGCTTGCGAAGATCCATAACCTTTATGCTGAAACTATGAAAACTGTTTCCCTGTGTTACTTGTTTTTCACTTTTGGCTGATACTTCCATGGTGTCAGTTTCAATATTTTCCATCTGTTATGAAATTTATGGTATATTTTTGTTCCCTTCTAGATCCTTGCAATTCCCGCCATTCCATTAACAATGTCAGCTGGACTCCTGTTTGGCTCTGTAATTGGGACGATTATAGTTTCTATTAGTGGAACGGTGAGTGATTTGTTGAAGTAAAACAAACAGATGGAATAGCATATGGCCGCTAATTATCAGCTCATTGTCTCCAAATATTTCAGGTTGCTGCAAGTGTTGCCTTCTTGATTGCTCGGTATTTCGCTCGTGAGCGTATTCTTAAGCTTGTAGAAGGAAACAAGAAATTTGCTGCCATTGATAAAGCCATTGGAGAAAATGGTTTCAAAGTAGTCACCCTCCTACGTTTGAGCCCTTTGCTTCCATTTTCTCTGGGAAACTATTTATATGGACTCACATCTGTCAAGTTTGTCCCCTACGTGTTAGGAAGGTCAGTTTTCAATTCTCAATTAACCTTACAAAGTTTAATCTTAGCTTTTGTTCTTGACGTTTTTGATTCTCCTTGAATGCAGTTGGCTGGGGATGCTTCCGGGAACGTGGGCTTATGTGAGCGCGGGTGCGTTTGGACGAGCAATTCTTGTAAGTTTCCGATTTGGTTCATCTCTTAAAGATGATTTGAATTCTTAGTTGAGTTTATAATCTTTTACTTGGGATGTTTCAGCAAGAAGAATCTGAAGTTGGTTTGCTAGGAGGAGGAAATGGTCAGCAGCTATGGACGCTGGGACTTGGATTGTTGGCAACCGCGTTTGCTGCTGCATACGTTACACGATTAGCCAAGGTAATGTCACTTTTTTGTGTAAATACTTGCCCTTTTCGGTATACTTACCCATTGCTACCACGTACTTTATGAACGATCTACTCAAATCTAAAATGAACATGATCATCTTAGAGTAGTGTAATAGTCTAAGCCCACCACTAACAGATATGGTCCTCTTTCGACTTTTCCTTTCGAGTTTCCCCTCAGTTTTTAAGCTAGGGAGATGTTTCCACTCTCTTATGAAGAATGTTTCATTCTCTTCCCCATTCGAGTTTCCCCTCAGTTTTTAAGCTAGGGAGATGTTTCCACTCTCTTATAAAGAATGTTTCATTCTCTTCCCCAACCGATATAGAGTTTCACAATTCAATCCCTTTGGGGCCCAGTGTCCTCGTTGGCACTCGTTCCCATCTCCAATCGATATGGGATCTCACAATCCACCCTCATTCAGGGCCCAACGTCCTCGCTGGCACTCGTTCCTCTCTCTGATGTGGAATCTCACAAGTAGTTTATAAGTTGATAAATTCATGTCAATCTAAACATAATTCAGTTGGTTAAAATATTTATCTTCTACCAAGGGGTTATAGGTTAGAATTCCTCCACACTTTTAAGTCATAGTTTAGGATACCAAAATTTTTAGTGTTCGATATTAAATGTCAATATCATAAAACCTAAACTGAGTAGACAGATAGGACTAGATATTTCATGATTGTCAATATAAAATGTAACTGAATTAAGCAATCTTTTCACAAGATTAACTATTATGATCGGCGGATTTTGAAAGGTGATTCTAATGTTATTGCAGGATGCTATGAAGGATATTGAATAGACATGACCCCTTGAGGAATGTAGTAGGTATAAATTAAAATTCATAATTGAATTTTTGAAGAAAATGGCTAATTCTCTGTATATTTTGTATTTGTCCAATTAATAGAGAGCCACTGCTCTTCCTGCTGCTCATGATGTACAATATTTACCATAATCAATATAATTAACTAATCTCTAATTGTGATCTTAATATGTTAATCTTTCTAACACTAAATTCATACCTAACCTTGAAATATGGATTCTACTACCGACCGTTCTGCAAAATTGATCGTCACTGGAAAGCAAGATAATGGAGGACAAAATTCAGTATCCAGCAAATGAAATGAGAAATTAATCGCTTGGGATCGCGGATCTGAGATCTGAGATCTGAGATCTGAGATCCAAACGGAAAGAAAGCAAATCAATCGCAGATTATTTTCTAGGGTTCAAAATCTATCCAAATCGAGAACAGAATCGGAAGCAATGTACATACAGTTTCAATGCTCAGAATCTTGCGTTGGAGACGAATTGAGAGTGAGCGTTGACAATCCAACAGTTGCAGGGCTTCTAAGTTGATCCAATTGTTTGTTACCTCGACGAAGAAGGTACTCGATGTAGATGAAATCCTTGCGATCGATTAGCTTGGCGTTCCGGCGGAACTCGGCGGAGACAACCGATTCAATCCTTTTTCGATCTTCGGCGGATTTGGAACGAGCCGCTCGGAGAAATGCTCAGTATAAACTGAGCACTTGCTTTTGCATCCCTGAGAGCTTCGGCGCCGATGAAACCCCCATTGAGCTTCTACTAGGTAGTTGCTTCTCTCGATATTCTCGGCACCGCTTGAACATTATGGCAATATTATTTTGAAACATTTATGTGACATTTTGCATGCATGGATTAACGTGTGACAAATATCGGTTTGTACACGTGACGATGGTTTCCATAATCACAAATCATTAATTGTTCCTCCAAATTTGTGGCAATTATTCATCTGTATGCATGATAATTGTATGATTTTACTGTGGAATTGTTCTAATTTTGTACAGTTTTTTAGGTCCTTCATTTTTCGATTTGTATTTACGGCATATGTATGTATATTTAAAAATGATTTTATTTTTCATTACCGTTAAAATATATTTTCAACTTATAAGATATAACTTGAACATTTTTTATAACGAGCCAATTTAGATCTAGAAAGTAAGGTTGTAGTAGGTATCTGTAACTTAATTTTAGATTTTGTAGGTTGCTTGTATGATAAGTATGAATGTGATTTCATGGCATGGCAGCAAACCCCATCATTTCTCAATACGACTTATAATAGATAGTATGTAAACTTTTTGTTTTGTATTGTGTTTTGCCATACATGTGATGCGGCTGTGTGAAAGACGAGACAAACTTTATATGAAGAATATGAAAAAGAAATTGATAGAAACTTGAGTGTTGTTGGATGTCATGATCGTATATTTTCAACCGTGCGACATTGTGATCTTGACACGCTTATAACAAGTTTTGAGGAGCTTCCAAGTTCCATATTCTTTTTTCACTTGTTTTTGTAGCTTCATTGCACCTTGAGTGAGGTTTATCTTGGGCAACCAAATACAGTTTGTGCGGAATCCAAGTTTGTTCGCCACACAAACTGCCTGTGCGTGCATGTTCAATCTTTTGCGACCCAATTGACTTGCTTCTACACTAGGGCAAGTCATTCTGCTTGATCTTACATCTACTCGGGATCAAGGTCTCTCATGTACAACGTCACATCTCATCATATCATCTCGATTTCCAATCAAGATGACCCACATGTCTTGACACCATCTCAAGTCCCGGGATGTCATTGTCCATCATAAGCTCGCTTGATCATGATCATTGAGTACGGACCCATATGTAGTTCATGTCATGGGGACATCCCGAACGCCCATCCATCTGTATATCGAGGAATTGGACCCTCTCGTGTCCATGCTAGTTCATTTACAAAATCCGCTCCAGATAGCAGATGCTAATCCAACTTTCGTCACATGCGCATGAACGCAATATTGGCACACTCGTCTTGTAACGTTTGCCCTCACTATGACACATGCATGTGGTATAGGGTAGCTTGCTTAAGCCACATAACTCAGGGTGGTGAAGAGCTGACACCATGTCTCTTCCTAATGTGCATTTTGAGGCATTTCCAATTTGACTGGTGTAGACATGATTTTCGCAAACGGTCATGTAGTTTTCATAGAGTGTTCATCTAATATCCGATTGACACCAAATTTGGCGACCTGTCATATTTCATATGAATAGAGCCCAAATACCCTCCAGAACCTCAACTTTTGAGGTCAAGGCCTGAGCCCTACCTAGCCGTTCAACGAAGTGCCTGTCTTTAACATTTTGTCTACTTTTTGCCCCTATCTTGCCTATCATCTTCTCTTCAATGCCCACTTTATACGGTGTGTTGGATGATACATCGTCCTCTTGAGTCACATCATGACACTCGCGTGGCTGGATGAGCGCCACTTGAGGGTTGTCACTTATCTTATCTCGACGTGAGGGTCACAACCTATTTTCTTCTTAGTATGGTTGTGACATTCTTCCACTTAAACTTGTTATCGTCCTTGATGACTTTTACGGGGCACAATTACTCTATGGATTGTGATACTCTACCCCACTTAAACTCGGTATCATCCTCGATGACGATCCAACTTCGGATTGACCCGTTGGAAATACGTGCTTTAGAATGAATACGAATACGGCGCAAATACTTATGAAACCATTCCACTGTTGACCCTTCTTTTCTTCTCGGATGAAATAATATCTTATTCAAATTATACTTTGATGTAATAACATATTCCAATATATATTTAACTAATTTGAATCTCATTAAAATTTAAATGTATATTATTATTTAATGCATCTCATATATATTAATTATATTTTAATACGTAATGTATCACTACAATAAATATACTTTTACCTTTTAACATATATAATATACTAAATATTAATTAACACTAGAAATTACATATTTTTTTTATGGGGTTAATATAACCCATGCGGAAACAATTTGGATCTTAGGCACTTTTAAAACATCAATTATAGTAAATAACTAGCATGTTCATAAGTATTAAAACTTAATGAGTTTGAATACTAACCTTTTGTAGGTCAAGCTCCTTTTTCCTCACGAACCGGTTTCGAACCACCACTAGTGTCTTCTCCACTATCCTCTGGCCTTAGAACGAGATTGTGGAATCTGGTGAGTAACTAAACTTGGGAGGGATTTTGTATATACGAAGAAAGTGTTTGTGAGAGGTTTTTCTCAAGGTTTTTCACCAAGAAGAAGAAGACCTTCCATGTACCATGATCACTCTATTTAAAGAGTCATGTTTTCATATTCATGCAAATTTGAGATTACCAAATTTTGATACTCAAAATTCCACTCAAATGTTTGGGATTATGTGGCAAGCATGCATGTTTGAGTTAACTAAATTTTGAGGATTTTTCCATTAAATGAAGTCAACAGTTTGACTTTCTTCATTTTAATTCAACAATTAATTTGAATAATTAATTTGAAATTAAAGTAACATTAAATGATTAATTAAACTATTTAATTAATATTTAATATTAATTCAAATGTCAATCCCAATCAATTCCCATACATAATTGATTAAGATATTTAAATCTTATTTAAATATCTCATATTCTCTCTTTTTGTTTAATTCGTAAATAAAAAAAAAAAGCGGTTAAATATATCGTATATATGTAGCGCATATTCCCGAATTTGAATTCGAACACTTCAAACTCACTTATCACACTGTTCTATGGTTTAGTCCGATATGAGCTAGTAGAGGGACCTAATGGACTTATAGATCATGGGCTCCAACGATCCAAAATTAACCGGTTAAACTCATTAACTTGGTTAACCAACATTCGTTAACTACTAGGACACTCCACTATAGCCTAGTAGTT